CTTCAGGCCATCATCTGGATACAAGGGGTGATATTGGAGCCCTTGACTGCCGCTATAAGACGCAGTTTCATTCATGTCAATAGCTTCCCTGGTCGTCGAGATATGCCCTTGTATCTGCTGGATACAAGGTCTGGATACAAGCTGAATACAAGATTAGTGCAAGGGCAATATCTCCGCAACCGCTTGGGCAACAACCTTGTATCCGAGCGCGTTCTGATAGCCAGGACTGAGGGCTACAAAGTGCAAGTTGTTTCATGTTGATAGCTACGCTGGTTGTATGGATAATGGCTTGTATTCACTGGATACAAGGGTATTGAACTCTGACTGATGGACCTCCCCTTATAACGGCAGTGCCATTAAAATGCCACAATATGAGTGGGTGCACACAAGCATGTGTATGGGTGACTGCACCCTTATAATGGCACTGCCATTAAAATGCCACTATATGGGCGACTGTGCACCAGTGTCTGTATGAGTGAGTGTGCCCCCCTTATAACGGCAGTGCCATTAAAATGCCACTATATACCACATGTCTGTATCCCTGTCATACATGGGTTATGTGAACTAAGGTGGCAGACAGTGAATAGGATATTCAAACTATGAACAAGGGAGTGTTCAGGAGAAACTATAGATGTATGAGGCAGTAAGCTATGGTGTTAAGATGGAGAGTGGGCGAGTTTTTAAGGATTTCAAGGGAAGTTAAGGAAGAGCAAGGGTGTATGGTGGAAAGAGGGTTAAGTGGAAGTAGGGCATAGTGTAGTAGGGGTTAATGGGCGAGTTTTTTAAGGGCTGAGGAGGGTTAAGGAGTAGTGAGGAGTGTAAGCTATGGTGTTTTAAGGGGAGTTAAGGAGAAGGAAGGGAGGAGTGTGGTGTTTGTTAATGGGCGAGTTTTTAAGGGTTAAGGAGTGTGAGGGAGAGTAAGGTAAGGAGAGTTAGGGGATAAGCTATAAACAGGGGCAAAAAAAGTCTCCCCTAGGGTTAGTCCTAGCCATTAGGCGCCAGGGCTACTGAAGCGCCCGCCTAGGCGCCGACTGGCACAGCATTTGGGCAACATTCCGCACACCTCTCTGCATCCCCTGGGCATAGTACGCGGCGCAACCCAGCATGTTTGTTGTATTTAAGACAATATACAGCCATTGGCATCACGTCTGAGGGTTTATTTGTGCGTACGGTCATTGTGACAATCGCTTCTGCAACTAACACCGCACACTGCAGAGTGCATATGCACTCTCTCGCATGGGCGTCTAAAGTGCGGGACAGCACACGTGTGCTCTCCCGGGCCCTCTATCCGAGTCGGGGGTGCGGGACAGCACACGTGTGCTCTGCCGCACGCCCTGTGGGACACACGGCGTACTCATTACCTGTACCTACCGACTCACGTGCGAAAGACCATCGCTAGATGCATGGTTCAATTAATATACCATGCACTACATCCTCCACTGACTGCAATGTATGGCCTCTGGAGGACGCCGCTCTCCGCGATGTCGCAAAGAACGAGCACGGACAATAAAAGCGGAATAAACGTAAGTATTATGCGCGCATATGGGTACCCGACTGGCGTGCGGACTCGGTGACACCTCAGACGGCGATGTGCAGGGTCGCGCATGCCACATCCACGCGGAGAAGGCCCATATCTGAACACTAAATTTCTGCCCTCAACGCCCTCATCGCCTCTTCCACCGTCAATACAGCAGTGCATCGTGCGTCGGTCCATATATTGCTCTCTACCTACACCTTACTAACACGTTAAAAGATGCCCACGCCGACGCGCTCCAACTGGTACAGCACAACTCCGCAGGAAATGACGGACGGCACAAGCGACAATGATGATGAGTCCGTATGGGGCAACCTCCCAGATCTCGAGGAGGTGGACGACAGATATCCCGCGCCATCGTTGGGGCTCCCTAACGGCAACGGGATTGTATTCCTTGGGTTCACAGATATAGATGGCCGTCATTTTGATCACATCCGGAACATGGAGGCACAGGTATGCGCTGGCCGCGTGTTGTAGTGCCGGCTCACCAACCACGCATGTTACAGAATATCGAGAATATCTCAAGGTTGGCCGCCTTTTTTCGCTTGATCGATCCTCCGACCGTAACGGGCCCCATCGAGATGACCCACACCGTCACCGGGCCCGTTCCCGCCCTGGAGCCAGAGCGCACCCTTGCCACGGAGATCGAGTCTCTGTACTGGCGTGCAAGCGACTACGCGCTGCAAGCGGAGGAAGCTCGCGATGAGCTCGAAAGCCAGGACCCGGAGGAGGTTCGGACCCTCACGGCCGAGGGTCTGAGAGCGCACCAGGAGCTCATGGATCTCCTCGCACGCCAGGCGGAATCGTGCGAGCTCATGCGCGACCAGCTCGAACAGCACGCACGCCTTCTTGAGGACGCTCAAGCTCTGGGCATGACGGATGAAGAGTGGCGCGCCGTGGAGGCTCGGTACGCTCCGGAGAACTAGGTAAGTACATGTCGCGAAATCGGTACAAACACTGGCTGAATGGGGTGCACCAACAGGGGTCTGGTCGGCGTGCGTTGATCTCGCGGGATAGCACGCATG